GAGCCCGCCGAGCGCGCGCGCACGGGCGGGGAGGAGGAGCCTGGGCCGACGAGGGGGCGTGGCTACCCTTGCGGTTGCGGACGGGGGCAGCGGCGCTGTGGCGCGGTACGGGGGCCGCCTGCTGACAAAAGGGTTAGAAGGGCTCGCGGAGCTGTGGCAGGGAACGCATGCGTACATCTATGCTGGCAGCCCCGTCGCCTAAACGGCAAGTTTTTCTCCGTGGGAACTTGGGGACAGGCGAAGCCCTTCACGGGAATTATTCCAAGTCATCCTTGCAGACAACAGCTCGGTAAGGTGGGCCTGTAAGACCAGGTGAAGGGCAGTCCTAAACTTGTGCTAATCATTGAATAAGCAATAGTTGGCTGAATTTGCAGTCTATGTTATACAATGTTGCGTATAACTAACATACATACATACATACATAAATATATATATATTTATATATATTATACTGTGTTGAGCCGATGTAGGATGAATTTTGCCGCTGGTCATGATTTTCTGTTTTTTAAATTGGTTATGGATAGTTTTATATGTTAGCACATAGTTTTTTAATTTGTTTTTATTGGATTGTTTTTACCTATCGTGAGCTGCCCAGAGTCGCTTAGATGAGATGGGCGGCCATACAAACAGAATAAATCATCATCATACTAGTAATAATAAGACACAGCAGTACTATGTATGGTGGGCTAAGCACCACAATGGTGGGATTCACAAAAGAAATCCATGCCATTCACATTGAGCTTCCTCTTATTTGGTTAACCAGACCCAATATAATATAATTGACTGGCTTCTTGCTCACCTTCCCTGCACTAGACTACAATCCTTGTCAGCACAGGAGAGACTACTATGGTTGGAGACTAGGCTTCCACTAAAAGCAAGATGAAAGTTCAAATATAATGCCCAGCACTCTCAGCCAGCATGTGGGAATTGTAGTTCCAGCTCTAGGAGGCTGCGAACTGGAAGAGGGTGGTCTGGTCCCATCAGTTCACCGAAATTTCTCAGCAGCTTTCCCATATCCATTACCATCTAGATCAGTGTTCCTCAACCTTAGCAACTTTAAGATAGGTGGACTTCAACTCCCAGAATTCCACAGCCAGCCATGAGTTGAAGTCCACCTATCTTAAAGTTGCTAAGGTTGAGGAACACCGATCTAGATTGCCAAGGTTGAGAAACACTGGTCTAGATAATGGCTTTGCAAATCACATAATCTGCAGCAAATCACATAATCTTCTCTCTGGAGAAGAAGACATTGTGCGGATGCTTGAAATCCAAGGCTTCTTGAAAGCTCATACCATCCTAAAGCCAGTTTCCCCAACTTTCTGATTCTGTACCAGACTTCTATTCTCACCTTGTTTGTTTCCAGCAAAACCGTATGAATACGGCCTGAAGTATTTAGACAACTTTGGGAGGCACGTGATCTGAATGTCAGGTCAGAAGGCATTCCTCTATTTACTGGAGAAGAATCTGAAACTTTTGTAAGAAGAACTGAAAGGGATTATATGGCCAGACCGAACCCACAAGGAAGTCTGGCCACTAATGGAGCTGGTAGCCAAAAAAGAACTCCCTGTTTTTCAAGGATGCATGTAATTAGGACATGAAATGGGAGAAACATGAAGCAAGGAAAACGTGAAATTATCAAGGCAAAAATGTAGTGTACAGTACTGGACTTTAAGTGTTGAGCGCATATGAACTTAGACCAGAATGGGCCATTTTGAATTCAGTGTGAGGCTAGATGAAAGAACAGAGAGGCAATGAAACCAACATTGCTAAATATGTCCTTGACCAGGCATGCAGGAAAGATGCTTTGGACCTCCCAGGGGCGCATTTGTTATATGTGTTAAAGCACCTGCACTTTTTGTTGGGCCTGCAAGGGAGCTACATGATCCCAGAAAAATACATGTTTGTGTTAAGGAGGTTTCATGGAGCTGGCAGCGAGGTATGATCACACTTCCATCCCTAGCAAAAAATAGTTTGTCCCATATTCTATTCTTTGTCCAATAACTTCATCATAAACAATCAAATCAATCACACTTTTAGATTCATGCTCATTCCTTGAGTACATTTGGATAAATGTATGCATAAATGATGTACTTAAGACAATCAGATCTTCTAAGCAGATACATTCTTCAATTACCATTTTCACTCATTACTGGGTCTCCAAATGGCCAATTCACATTTTTTACTCTTTCATCTCTTTTCCACCCATCCATTCATGTTACTTAACAGAATATCTTTTTCTACTGGATTACATTAATTCAGAATATTACACAATTTTCCCCCAAAACCCATTTCTGATCCTTCCATTATCATCATCTGGAACATGTGACTATCACCAGGCTGGAGAGCCAGTGTAGTACAGAAGTTAAGCTGTTGAAAAAGAAATGGGGAGACCTAGGTTCTGGTTCACCCATAGAAGCCCACTGGGTGACTTTGGGCCAGTCACTGTCTCTCAGACCTAGGAAGGAGGCAGTGGCAAAACACTTCTGAAAATGTTAACAAGAAAACTGCAGCGACATGTCTGTGTAGTCAGCAAGAGTCAGAATTAACTCACAAGGACTCTAACAACAACTGCAAAGAGTGACTGAACTCAGAGTTTCAAGTAGGACAAATAAATAACATCTCAATCTTGGTATCAAAAAGAGAAAATAGAGGAAAAGGAGAAATATTTTTAAGAAGATAGCTGAAATCATAGGACAATTACTGGAGTAATCACTGAAAAATAATAGAGATAAAGGAGGTAAAAGACTATGCTGAAACTTGTTACAAACAAAATTACTGATTGACAGAAACATTTGCAGGGAACATATTAAAAAATTGATTCCTCTTGAAAGTGAGATATAAGAGATGGTATGCTACATGTCAAGAAGGAAAAACCAGGCATAGATATCCACTGAAGTGTTTAAACCTGAAGAGGAAGAGGCAGTTAAAGTGCTAACAGCTGTCTGTCAACATATATGGAACAAGGCTGTGCACTAGAGACTGGAAAAGTTCAGCTTATATGCAAATACTAGAAAAAGAAATGTAGGAGAATGTGCGAATGATCAAATTATTTTGCTAATTCTTTGTGTAAATTTTGCTTAAGGTCTTACAAAGAAGAATAGAGCCAGGCAAGGGCAGAGAAATGCCAAATGAACAGAGGTTTTAGAAGAGGCAGAGAGATATAAGTTCAGATGGCTAGCTTAATGAGAATGGATTTAGCTATCGGTGTGTTGATTTATTTAAAGCATTGGTATGGCCAACCAAAGTGCCTGGGCAGCTTACAGAAAATTCATACAAAACCACAGTACAGAAACTGATAAAAAATAATAAAATAATAAAATGGCAATTCAAACAGAAGTGGGTGATGGAGAGAGTAAGAGGTTTATCTTATCTTTACCGGCTGCAGTAAGGCTTTGATTGTATGGATTGGTGTTTCTCAACCTTGGCATCTCTAAGATGTGTGGACTTCAACTCCCAGAATTCCCCAGTCCACACATCTTAGAGTTGCCACAGTTGAAAGCAGTATAGATAGATCTTCTGGGATAGAACATGTCAGAAGATGGAACATATAATCAATATGTCTGACATATTCTTTTGAGTTTTCTTGGTAATGAATAAGAAGCTACTATAGGAGCTGAGATGGGAGAAACAGCAGAAAAAGAAAGGGAGGGAGATAAGAGTGTATATTGTCCATGTATCTCTTTTTGGTAAATATAAGAATGGTAGGACTGGAAGAGAGGACATTGAAGAACTGGAGGGTGGAACACTAACTGAAATATGCTGATGGTACTACTTTTTTAACTGAAACAAAAGTCTTAAAAGGTTTCACTGAGAAAGTAAAAATGAAAAATGAAAAAAAAAGGTCTAATGTCAGATGTTACAAAGTCAAAGAAGTAAAGGAAGTAGACATTTTTGATTTTCTTAGACTTAATAAATAAAGGGGGATGATGGGTGAAGAAGAAAAAAGGAGGTTAACCTTAGGGAGGAAAGCAGTGACAAACTTAGAGAAGATAATGAAGGATAAAGATAGTTCTCTGATAACAAAAATCAGAATGGTCCTTCCATTGGTGAAATATGGCTGTGAAAGCTGGACATTGAGGAAGACTGAAAGAAAGAAGATAGATGCTTTTGAATTAGGAAACTAGTGATAAGTTACTAAGTTTCATGGACTATAGGAAGGACCAATCAGTCGCTCTTGGACTAAGTGAAAACTGATTGCTCTCTTCAAGTGATGGTCACAAAGCAGAAACTCAAATAATTTGGATATGTGATGCAACAGTTGATGG